GAATCCCAGGTCGCCGGCTGCGGGGCTGCACCAGCCCGCTTGGAAAGCACATGCCTCCCGGGTGGGGTCTGCAAGGTCGTGACAACCTCACGGCCGTGGGGCCAGAGATGGGGGTCACAGGGCAGGGACGGGATGACCCCTGGAATCCTCAATGGAGAGAAGCGGCGCAGGAGCTGTGGGCAGGGATACCTCACACAGGCTTCCCTTAGGGCAGGGAAGAGGGGTCAGCCCAGGCCTATGGGTCAGGACACCTGCCCTTCAGAGGCCCCAAGTGGCCACCACTCAGCTCTGGCTGTTCCTGGCTCAGGGTCCTGAGGCCAAACTCTCATCCACAACTAGTGAGACCACGTTTCAGACCCAGGAAGCCACCCTCTCCCTTCGAGCAGTAAGTCAGCAGGAAGCTATGCCTGGGACCCAGCCTGGGACTGGGACCCAGCCTGGGACTGGGCGCCATCCAGGCTCACTGCAGCCTCAATCCTCCCGGCTCAGCTGGCCTTGGGGGACAGCTGATTCCGGCCCGGGGGTTTCCACGTGGAGAGGGGACACCGCCCTGCCACAGGCAGCAGTGCTGGAAGGAGCAGCCGGCTTCTGCTTCAGGCAGCACAGGCAGGGGTTGGCCCAGGCCCCGTCAGCAGCACCAGGTTTGAGCTACACCCCCCAGCAGTGGTCGGAGGTCACTGAAGGCGGCAGGGCCTCTGCCACCTCCTCAGGCGCGAGGTCGGGTCAGGAATTCAGGACCAGGCACAATGACAGCAGCATCTGTTTATTGACAATTCCAGGTCATTCCCAACACGCCGCAGCAGGGCTGTGTACAGTCCAGCCGGGTGGGGAGGAGGGAGGGAAGGCAGGCACATGGAGACACAGGTACGTCGGGAAGTGCACACAAACCATCGTCTTTCCTTTCTGGTTAAAGAAGAAACACTTTATAATCAATATCCCGCTCATAAGTAAAAGTGGGAAAGAAAAAACTTGATTGCTTTAATCTGGCCTTCTGGCATCTCCTCTCCCATTTCATATGCACAGTTTATTCGGGTAATGCTACCGTCACCAGCGGAACGCCTGTAAGTAAAAACCAAAGTCAGGGAGGAAAAAGGATGAACAGGAAGCTCGAGGCGGCTCCAGGCGGCTCCAGGCGGGCGCCGGGCTCAGTAGAAGCAGACGGTGTGCAGAAAGGTGCGGCCGCTCTTCTCCTCGAACTCCTGCAGCAGCTCGTCAATCTCGTTCTCCATGTCCTCCGTGTGCTGGATCTGC